ACTTCCAAGGATGGACATGGACATCCGATTGATGAGAAAACAGGATGTGAGGACAACATCACTCCAAAAATGCTTTGGGACATTCATATTAAGCATCAAAGTCCGAGCAGTTTCAAGGAGATGTCGATTTTTCCGTTCAGCTACACCGTTCTGTTGTGGGGTGTAGGCACAAGAAGTTTGATGAACTATCCCATGGTGCTCTAAGTATTGCTGAAATGGTATTGAGGTGTATTTTTTGGCATTATCGGAGCGAAGAATTTTAATATGAACACCAAATTGGGTACGTATTTCAAGATAAAATTTTTGAAAAATAGAGAACAATTCATTGCGATCTTTTATAAGATAAATCCATGTCATCCTTGAAAAATCATCAACAAAAATTACAAAATACTTATAGCCATTGTATGATATCACTTTGATCAGACCCCAGACATCAGAATGAACTAAAGAAAAAGGACTCAAGACACGACTATCAACTCTTGGACTAAAAGAGACTCTATGATGTTTCCCAAGATGACATGACTCACAATCCAAAGATGAAAGATGACTCAAAGAAGGAACCAGCAACTTCAGAGCCTTGAGAGAAGGATGACCAAGTCTGCAGTGCCATTGAAGAGGAGTAAGAGATGACTGAAAAGCTACTAGAGGGCCACCACCATCAAGGTAATACAATCCACCTGCCTCATGCCCTCCACCAATCTTCATCCCTGTCTTGAGATCCTGAAACACACAAGAAGAGGGATAAAAGGTTATGGAACAATTAAGTGACTTGGTTAATCTACTAACAGACATAAGGTTAAAAGGGAACTTGGGGACATATAAAACAGATGATAAAGACAAGGAAGAGAGATCAACATCACCAACACCACAGATGGGAGATGTAGAACCATTAGCAAGAGTAACTGTTTGAGATGTGGAGGACCAAAAAAGAGAAGAAAATACATTAGGAGTCCCAGACATATGGTCCGAGGCTCCGGAGTCAATGATCCAGTGTGAAGGCTTGGAAGCCAAGCAAGCCATACCTGAATGGACAAGGGTAGCTGTGTTTTGCTGAGAAGATGTCTAATGGAACTGCTCATATACTACACGGGGTACACTCACCATCTCCTTCCCAGAAATACCAGTAGATGTGGAGGGGATCGGGTCAGTGTGCTGACTTTCAGTAGTTGTACCACTACCCTTAGTCACAGCATGGTTAGCCCAAGTGTTGGGTGGACCATGTAAATCATAGCAGAAATTAACCGTGTGCCCCTCTAATCCACAGTATGTACACTTCCTAGGGGCATTACTTCTTCCTTTACCACGACCTCCCCTTGAGTCCCGATCTCCACTCCGGCCACCAGCACGGTTAAACAAGGGACCACCACAGTTACCTGGAAGTCCATGACCACCACCTCCACCTCTATTTCCACGGCCTCCCCCTCTAGTCACCACAAAACCAGATCTGTCTCAGAGAGAAGAATGCTCTATAGACTCAATAGATGTCCTCCTAAGACGGGTAAAAACTTCTTCGAGGGAAGAGCAGACCCCACCTAGTATTTGTGCTCAGACAAGCTCATATTCAGCCTTCAAACCCACCAAAAACCTTATCACATCAAGTTGCTCACGCTGTTGTTACTGAATCTGAACATCCTGTGTCAGAGGATGATACACATTGAGCTCATTTTGGATATTCCTCAGACTTGCATAGTATTCCTCCAAGCTTTGACTGCCTTGCTTCATATTAAAGTACTCTTAGTACAACTGATACACCATTGTATTGTCTTGCCCGGAATACAGTTTCTTAGCATGATCCCAGATTTCTTTAGCTGTATCTAGGAACATATAGTTCACACTAATTTTTGGTTCCATGTTATTCCACAACCATGTCATTATTTGTGCATCTTCCTATTCCTAGTCACTAAGCCCTAGAGAATCAGAGGAGGGTTTCTCCTCTCTCACATGTTTTACTTTTTTCTTGGCTTTTAAAAACACCTCCACATATTTTGCCCACGGCACATAATTCTCACCATTCAACTTAATATATGTCATTTGAACATTTAGGTAATCTGGAGAAATCATAACACCTATTTTATTGTCATTCCCATCTCCAACCGATGCCATCTTAACTAATTCACCTTACCTTACAAAGAAACCACTGCTATATGTAGAATATTCACCTTCAAATATTCAACACAACCTCACGCACTTCCACAAATCTTATCTCACTTTCAGCACCACCAACTTCTTCAAATACACATTACACATCAAATACAAAAGCTGAAATCACTCAGTCATTAAATCAAACACCTGTACTGCACACTACAGAACCA